ACGGTCCCACTTTCGTCCCGATCGGTCCACCCATTTTGACTCCAGGTCCAAAAAGGCTTGGACAAACTCACATACTCACATACTCACTCACATACTGACAAACAGGCTTGGCCGAACTTTTCTTCAGCGACCCACCAATGGGAATTTCCGGATGCAAAAGCATGCTATCGCATGCTTTTGATCCTCCAATTCTGGATAATGGGTTGGTCCGTTTTAAATTATGTCTTGCTGGAGTGCAAGGCGTTGTTCTCTGACCGAACTACGTGATGGGGTAAAACGCCCCAGTAGGTCGCGGGGCAAAAAGCCCCATGGGGCGTTTTACCTCATGTGTTGTTCCGAATACCCACTTCCTAATGTTCGGTAACTGTCGAACAGTAAGTTTCTATGCAATTTTATGTGCTTTTCTCAAAAAATTAATGGCAAAGGAAGTATTTGATTAACATTTGCATTGCAATGATTTATTATTTGGCCTTATGAGGCAGGTGAAAAACCTGTACATACAATAGTGTCATAGCTGAACACCTGACAGGATGGAAGGTGCTAACTTCAGTGCCGTGCCTCCCAAGGTCTAACGGGCCTCTCATATACGATTTAGTCAACTAGCATGTTTAATCTTCAATCTAGAGTATGGGGCTTCTTGCCCCAGGCCGTGGGGCGTTTTGCCCTGGGGTTGGGGCAAAATGCCCCATTTGCAGTTGTTTCACAAATCACTTCCTAGCTGGGAGTTCGATCATAAGTGAATGAATTTGAGGGGTGGAATTTAAAGTAAAATGTCCAAAGAACGCATTGAGCACAAATTTGGCCTTCCAGGTGATGTGGGACAAAAGTTATGTAGCAAAATAAATTATCTGGGGCGTCTTGCCCCAGGCTACCCTATATTGAAGATAAAATGCGCCCCGTACAACATTAAAACTACAAAAGTCCCACCAGCTATGCGTAATGTCAGCCGTAAACTCAATTACGCAGCTTCCAGTTGAAGGGTTTGTTGAACTTCTAAATGCAGGCTGGTGCGTTGAATGGACAGGACATTTAACCCTCGCCCTGGCAGGGCATTTTTCATAACACGGCCTGGCAGGGGGGGTCGATGCGACCCCCCCCCTCGCGATTGGCTCCTATGGCACCTAGAAACACCAAATTTGGTAGGTAGGTGGGCCCCCCGGAGTTCTCGCCCCTGTGCAAATTTGGTTGCTCTAGATCAATATTTAGGGGGGTTTTGGGGGGTATAAATGTAAAAATTTCGCTAAAAACAGGTCAAAAGTTTTTCGCTTATAACTTTTGATCTAATTAAGATAGAGCAAAAAGAAAAGCACCAGTGAACTCAGCACGTCAAGGCGCGTCGAATGATATACTTTTTAGCTTGCTTAAGTGTACTTAAAGTTTTTCCTAAATTTTAAGTAAACTTAAATTAATAAATTAAGTTCAAGTTAACCAAATTGCATCATATCGCATATCATTTGATTCGGCTGATCACTAGGAACACAATGATACCATTTTTTAAGCTCTAGCGTCATTATGTGCCAAGCTATTGGCAAAAACGTCATTTGACCTCAGTTGACCTCATTTGACCTGACCCATGGATAAGTACACCAAACAAAGAAGCACCAAGTGACCTGCTGTTAAGTACCGTGGTTTCAAAGCACAAAAGTGATAAAACGAAGCGGATATCTCCAGTATTTTCCGAATTTAGTATTTTCCCATAGGCTTAACATTACGACGTAATGACCTCTAACTGACCTCAGGTCAGTGACCTAAAAAAAACGGACTATATGTTATACAACTCGGTGAACTTAGCACATCCTGAAAGTTTGAAGGAAATCAGTCGAAAACTGTGAGTTGGACAGGTGCAAAAAGAAAATTGAAATTTGACCATGACCTTGTACCGGTTTTTCTGACCTGGTGACCTGACCCAAGGTCACCCGGACCTGAAATTTTCAGGTCATATGTAAAAAGGCTGCCCCATAGGCTGTGCCAAATTTGGCGGCGCTCGTTTTTTCCGCTATCTTCGAAAAACCTCAGGGGGGGGGGGGGTCGCATCGACCCCCCCCCCTGCCAGGGCGAGGGTTAAAGGGACCCTCCCACCTTAACATTAGATTTGAGTTGAGATAGCCAAAATGGGGTCCCTGGCTCACAATTACCGGTTTCGGCTCTCACAGCATCGAGAAATGCCTTAAATCGGAAATATTGAATTTCAAAATTGCAGCATTTTGATTCAGCGGGGCTAATGCTTAGGAATACCCCTCTGAATGTGTGACGTCAGCGCAGATATCTAACGATTTTTAAATGTTTGACTAAAACGTTTTCTAGCACGCGGTGGTATATGCTACTTGCGCGCAACATCTGCCGCAAACGCCGCACTTCTAAAATAAAGTCACTAGAAACAGCGGAGATCCCAAAAAAGTAAACAAAACTAAAAGTCAAATATTTTGAAAACCGGTGAATATTTTTCGGTGAAATTTGGTAGAAATTCGTTTTCGCTCTTTCTGAACCGAGCGACATCACTTTTATGCCAATTCATAAACTTTTTTGAAGTTTGGAGGGTCCCTTTAAGCTATTGATGTTTATTAACCACATCAGTGCCATACACTTGTGTTTTCTACAAACCGTGCTTAAGTGTTGTGTTATGTTGTAAGCAGCAGTGGTGTCGAAATGCAAAGATCTTCAATAATGTTTTATTTCATGGGAAGCGTTAGGACTTAGGAGAACACTAACTGTCGACTTGCACACACATTACACACTCTCAAATAGCACTTGTTCACTCAATGTCATTGCAATACATTGTTCTTATAAGAATGATGGCGGTCTCGGCTGCTTGTGATGCAGGTTTGTGATGTTGCTGATGCTGATGATGATGAATATGATGAAACTTTTCTTTTCCTCCATTCTTTGATATTCTGCTAGACGTCATTCGATGCTGTCCTGTATCTCCTGATGTCCTCCACATTCTCTCAGTAGCTGCTTCCATCCAGCATTCACCTTCTTACAGACTTTACCGCCTTCGCCACCTTCTTCGCCGCACCTTTCAACTTATGATGCACCGCATGCTGTTGACCTTTCGACCGATGATGAAACGAATGATGACCTTTGTAGCCCCCAACAGCTGGCACGCCTCCAACTGGCACTCCGCCAAGTGGCCCAATGCCACCTGGCACTCCGCCAAGTGGTATTCCTCCTGGCACTCCGCCAACTGGCGGAGCATACGCCGAACCTAGACTCTGCGAGGCAGCTTGAAATCCTGATAGCCCCGCCTGTGTCACCCTCGCAGCTAGACGGTTAGCTCCGTCTCCAACAGCTTGAGCCACTTGTCCTAGAGCTAGTAGAGGACGCTGAAGAAGAAGGGCGTTCTTGCCTAGGATGAGGCCGCCGAGGCCGGAGAAGAGGCCGGGCTGGGCGGGGGCACCATAGGGAGCCACCGGGGAGGTTTTGGGCTTCTTGACCTCGGTACTGATGACGACCTGAGGGCACAGGAAGATACAATGTCATAGCGGTCATGGACATACATTTGGAGAACTGAAAATTAGATACGATAGCCAAGTAGAAGACAAAACTACTAACCTATCACTGAATAAAACAATTATTGCGAATAAATTAGCATGGATTACACATTGGATCATATAATGTCGAATAATATGGATAATAAATTGTTATTTATTTCGATGCAACGAAAATAAAACATTAATAATAATGATCAAATAATTTTGTATTGTAGATTCAATGATAACAAGCTATTGTCCTTCGAATAGATAAAAAGATACTTCCCATAGCTAAATAATTATGCCCACTGTGCGAAAGCTCACCTGTGCCAGTACAATAATCCCCAGCGTTGCCGCAATCATCCTCGTGTGCCTCGTCATTTTGTCCGACTGAATCCTCCGTCTTTCAACCCTCCTCCTTTTATACTAACCACCAGGTCACGGCCTAATTTTTATACTATCCACTGATTCCGTAACTAGCAGATCTACCAACCATCTCACCCGTGCGTGTCGCGGGCGGTGAGATAGGGAGAGAAAGTGGCTGCAGTGAGAATCTCACCACAATGCTAACCTTGCATGCGGCTGTGATTGGAGGATGTTGCAGCACTGCTAGAGCCGGTTCATTGCAGATGTTTGGTGAATCAGGGATATATGAGTCACGGGCCTGGTTTGGCAGGGGAATTTATTGATTGAAACGGGTTGAATGGCGATTTCGGTGTGATTTGGATTGCGTTTTAACACGAGTTTTGATGCGTTCGAGTGTTATTTGAACTGCGTTTTAACTTGAAAGATGGCGGATTGCGTTTATGTGTGTCTTCTGTATGCATGTGGTTTTCCAATAAGAAAATAAATAGTAGCGGGCTTGTAATCGCATTAACATTGCGTGGATACTATGAAGTTGTTAGCCCAGCGACCATAGCTCATCTGTAGAACCTAGACTGATGTCATTTCTCAACTGATTTATAACAGAGCTCGCAAACCGTGTGTAAATATAAACAGGTACGTAGAGGTGGTAGGATAGATCAACGGACATTGCCAAACGAAACTTCACAGTGTCTATCTCAAATCTGCTCGGCTGTGGACCAAGGTCACTTTTTCCACAGACACCTCCCCACCGGTTTTCTGCACACTTGCCCTGTTTGTGTGCTTGTTTGCCACTAAACTGGTCCGTTTCGGAGGTCGCCTCTGTGAGGCCAGCTGTTGTAGATCAGACGAGGGAATAACCCGTTTAACTGGTTCACTGATTAGCGGTTCTACTTACACAAAGAGAGGTGCTTATCCGAATTCCATCAGAGGGTGGGCAGAAAACTGACGACTGAAGCCGGTGGAACGGATGCGGTTAGCGCAAATGCGAAAACATGTGGAAATGATGCGCGTGTTGTTCGCATCACAACGGTTGGATGGAGTTATGGGAAAACTAGAGACTTTTGGAGCTATTTATGAATATGCATCATTTATAATAATTTGTCTTCTCAGAGGCCAGTGCCGTTGCGCTCATGTTTGCAGACGTAAAAAAGCAAACAAATGATGTCAGATAATGCATACATGTAATTTCCAATGCGGTTGTCCAGCATGTCTTGCAACAACCATTGACGATCACCAATGAGCGAAGACAATCTATAAATGCAATAGCACACAAATGAGCTCAAGCACAGACCCCTGTATACCGAGGTTTGTGGTTCAACTGGTTTATTTAAAAACACACTAAAACACAACAAACGCGTAGCTCGTAACATACAGCGGATAGACAAATTCAGTTTCACAGTTTCACTTAGTCAACAAGTTATTCGCCTGCGTATTTTTACACTTGCGATCATGACACAAACAATAAATATTTAAATACCAACATAAGATCTACAATGAGTGGCAAGACCACAACAGCCTCATTATCATCACTTTCTACGATCTACAGATTCTCGCCGTAAAATCGTATTTTTCGACACGGAGTAGTGAATCCCTGGGATTGGGTTATGTACCGCATCTTTTGGATAGTGATCCGCGTCGTCTGTATAGTGTGTAATAGCTGCTGGGTACTGTTGTGCGTTTACTACGTAGTTTTGCGCAATTTGTTGGTAGTGTGGCGCTCCTTGTGGGGTTTGTTGAGCCACTGGCGCATAGTGATTTTTATCTACTGGGTGCTGCGTTACTGTTGATGCATATTGATTTTCTGTAGGTGCGTATTTATCCACTTGCGGAAGATAGGTAACTGGCGTTTGTGGGATATAGTTTCCAGTTGTTGTGTAGTGTTCCACCGCTGGTTTGTAGTGTTCAACCTCGGGTTGATAGATGTCCACCTTCTCCGTAGCATATCCTGTACCTGTTTGATAATGCTTATCAGCTGGCTGGTAGTTTACTCCTGTAGTTGCGTGATATGGCTCATTCGGTGCATAATGTTGTCCCGTGGTCAGCTGGTATCCCGTCTCGGCTGGGTATTGTACCGTATTTACTGCGTAGTTTTCGGCAGTTGATGGTTGATATTGTCCCACCGGTTGTTGATATTTCCCCACCGTTTGGTGGGATAATCCCGTTGTTTGCTGATAATCTCCGGTTGAAGGATACTGCACATCATTTGATGGATACTGTACACCAACAACCGAATGATGTACACCAGTGTTCAAGTATCCCTTAGGCTTGTGCACCTTCGTAGCCTGATAATGCACAGGGTAGTATGACAACGTGGGTATAACTACCACTACCTTGGTACTAGTACTAGTCCTAATACTTGTATGAACTTTAGTGACAGTACTAGGCGGTAGTTGCGGCAGTTGGTGCGGAGGTGGTGCCGGTGGTGCAGGAATCTTCACCACTATGGTCGTAGGAGTTTGTTTTTTGACCACCACCGCTGGTGGTGGTGGCGGTGGTGGTGGAGCTTGTTTCTTCGTACCAAAGAACCACGAAAAATCATCCCACGTGAGGAGAAATCTTGCATCACGTTGATGTTGGTTTTGTGACGTCAGCGGATCAGTCAGCTGTTTAGAAGGTGACGCTACAGATTCAGTCAGCTGTCTTGAAGGCTCTAAAGATGGGTATGCATTGATGGCGGTGATAATCTGTAAGAGGAAAACACTATCGTTAGAACTGCTATACCTGATAACTGGTTCTGGCAATCATGGGTTATGGGGGGAGGTCGTAAATCGTCGCAAGCTGATGTAATATTGTAAGATATTTTAGGTTGAGGGTAATTTACTTCTGTTGGGTATTGTTTAGATCTTTCTTCAAGTACTAGTTGAGTGTTGACAAAACGATAAAGATACGAATGATGTCGAACGTGAACAATTGATTTTTCAAGACCCTGCTCCAAGCATTCGGCAAAAAGTATTTTGTTTCAGACGTAGTTGAGCTATTATAGAGCTGCTACGCATTTACCTATTTCTTGAGACACAAACTCATAAAAAAGCACCTATATATTGTTTACAAAACGGTGTTAAGTTTACAATAACCACCAAGAAGGTTATCCTCAGAACAACACCCATCTTAATTCGACCGGTAGACCAAAATTATAATACCGCACCTGTTGCATATAAATTGTAGATGATTCACCAAAAAGGCAATGTTTGTTATAAAAACGTTATAATCTTACCGTAGTTAATGCTACCAGCGCAGCCCAACCGCCGCTTCTTCCCATCGTAACGCCACCCGCGAATTCGTTCGTCTGGTCGCTAAATAGCTTTACAAAGTCCTTTATACAGTGCAGTAGTTAGTTTCAATTATCTACGAGTAAGATGGAAGAAAAACTGGTTGGAATTTGGGGCGCACGTGCCGAAAGAGTCTCTCTCGCTAGTTTCGCTACAAGTTCTGTAGTCGTGGAAAAGTGGAGTGATGGCTTTCGAGCTATTGTTTCGCTCTTTTATTGTTCAATGCGATTCCTGTTGAGCGTTCGATGTGTTTCAGTTGAGTGAGATGCTAACTTGTTCGAACTCTGGCAGCAGTTTAAATTTTCACAAGCAATTATATGTATGAGCTTCTAAATATTTGCTGTGCTTGACGTTCTATTTGCCCCATTGAGTAGCTGAAAACGCCCAACGTCATTTCGTGCTCAGTTGACCTTATCTCAACGTGTAAAAACATTGTCCAGTTGTTATACAAGTGTTATCGCAGTTCATCAATCATTGAATGATGAATCGACGCATATTAAACAACAAAAACTTGTCATGCATTGGACATCCGTGCGTTCAGCGTTGGACGACACTCGGCCCGACAGCCAGCTACCTGCGGAGGTAGACAACCCGCAATACTCTCAGCTTGTGCAGGGCGGAGCGGGTGAGGGAGAGAGAGAGAGAGAGAGAGAGAGAGAGAGAGAGAGAGAGAGAGAGAGAGAGAGAGAGAGAGAGAGAGAGAGAGAGAGAGAGAGAGAGAGAGAGAGAGAGAGAGAGAGAGAGAGAGAGGAGAGGAGAGAGAGAGAGAGAGAGAGAGAGAGAGAGAGAGAGAGAGAGAGAGAGAGAGAGAGAGAGAGAGAGAGAGAGAGAGAGAGAGAGAGAGAGAGAGAGAGAGAGAGAGAGAGAGAGAGAGAGAGAGAGAGAGAGAGAGAGAGGGAGAGAGGCCGCCCAGGCAGGCCACACCGGTTGTGAGAACAATGGAGGAGACCCGTTTTTAGATGGCCGCCGGCCAGGGTGGAGTAGTTTTGCAGCAAGATGGAATGTCTGCCTGTCCGATCCAATTAGAAAATGAGGTTGTATGGTTAATTGGTTAGGAAGTGTGTGATCAGATGTTCTAGCCTTCGGATTTGTCTGCCTCTTTCTATCTGTTTTTGTTTTATGTTTTATTCCTCTGACCTGGCTTTCTGAGTCTGCTTATGTCTGCGTCTTTGTCTCTTTCCTTTATCTTCGAAACCCTTTGTCGTATTTTCCCGTTCTTTGTTCATTTATAAGTATGTAGACGTGTCTCCTTTCTGTCTCTGTCTTTCTTTCAGTTTCTCTTCCTTCCTCCTTCTTCTTCCTTCTCTTTCACCGTCTGCGTTTTTTTCTCTCTCTCTTTTTCTTTCTCCCTCTTTCTCCATTACTCTCCCTGAGTGCACCCCCTCATACCAAGTTGTGAGTTCAACCTTCCATGGCCTGTGTTTTTTTAGCCGTGAGCGTTAAACCAGTTCACTCTGTGCCAGCCCACATATGGATTCCTGTTTACACACATCCTCCCAGCCCGGATAAACTCTACTCAACCCCACAAGTGATGCAAGTTGTAACCACAGCCGCCAGTGCGATCGCACCAATCGCATTCTCCGCACGTCAACTTAGCGTAGCCTTGAAAGGTCTCGCAATCCCGTGGTGTAAAGTCTGTATACGTGATACGACTGGTTGGAGGTTGCTAGTCAGCCGCCATATTGCGTGAGGATTGAGTATTAGCCAGAGGTCACGGCTAAGACTGGTCTGGCGGGTGATGTTCACGCAGTTTGGTTTTGGTCAGATAAAATGCACAGGGAAAACACTCTATTTCGAGCTTAGATAACATATTACGGATAGCATACGAGTTTTTAACCCGCGCGGGGCTGGGGGGGGGGTAAATTTTACCCCCCCTCGCGAATTTTTGCGATATTTCAAAAACGGCGGCGCGCAGCGCCGCCAAACTTTCAGTACCTTTTCTTACATCAATTTGACACGTTCCCTGAAAATTTGAGCGAAATCCGTCGGAAATTTTTTGAGAAATTGACGTTTTAGTGACGTCATGTTCGCCATTTTCGCCTCAAAAACGGCAAAAGTTCAAACACCGCTAACATCTTCATTTTTAAAGGAATCAAGACGTAACAAAAAAGGTTATACGTAATTTTACTTTGTCTATCAAATGGGTTTCTCGGTTTTTTGAAAATTTTGGATTTTGGCCTAATTTTTTTTCAAAAAACTGACCTTTTGGGAAAATCATTATAAAATCCAAAATTTTGAGTCTATCGAAAAAACCGGAATATATGTCAGAGAAGTGGTCTATGTGCACCTACATACCAAATTTTAGAAGAATCGGTTGGAAAATGTGGGAGTTATTCAAAATTTTATGACGTCACGACACACAATTTTTTTTTTGAAAAATGACTTTTTTGGAAGTTCTAGACCTCGTACGGAAAAAAATAGCACCATTCGATTCGCCGTGAAAAACTGCATCAGATAGACACCTTTTTAGGCCTTAACAACCAACTTCAAAATTTGACCTCACTTGACCTGACCTTGACCTGACCTCGACCTGAAATTCATCCAGAGGTGGTCCATATCACCTATTGAGTGTGCCTATTGAATTCTATGAGTAAAATGACCCATAAAACATGTGTCGCACATGTTCTTTTCTATATTTTGTTTTTTGGTGACCTGACCTGACCTGACCTGACCTTGACCTTGACCTCTGAATGATATTGTACTATATTGTCTTGGTAGCCTAAGAACACGTTTTGGGCGATCAGTCTCAGTCCATGACTCCATTCTTCGGCAACTACCCCGCGCCCTGGTGGGGTCTGTTTATAAAGCGACCTGGTGGGGGGGGGGCTATTTTTTGCCCCCCCCCCTCGTATCTCCGAAACTACTGGACGGATCCGCAAAATTCAAACGGCGTTCGATAGCCCTGTCAAATTTGTCGAAGGAAACCAAATTTTATTGACCTCGGGGTCACCGATGACGTCACAGGTCAGGTCAAAGATAAAATGTTTCACCGTTCACGGGGCTTCTAGGGAAAGCGCTATAACACCGAGTAAAACGCATTTTGTCGAAAATCAGCGATAAGACGTCAGTTGTCTAGTACATATGTTGCTATTAGAGATCACTGGTCATACCAGGTCAGGTCACAGGTCAGGTCACCAAAGGTCACCAAGGGTCACCACATGAACCCAACTTTACTAAGGTTGTGCGATGCATGTTTTATGGCCAGTTTTTCATTTCCAACCCAATGGTGTTGGTTATAAGACCATCAGGTACGGTTTAGGTCACTTTCTGGTGGAGCTCAGGTCAAGGTCAGGTCAAAAAAGGTCAAATTTCAAAGTTGATATTTTTGCATAAAATGGGTATCGATTCGATGCAGCTCGTCACGGGGAGTCTAATGGTGGTCTTTGTTTTTGCACTACGAGGTCTAGAATTGCTAAAAATTGAGTTTGAAAATTTGACGTCATCAATTTTGAACAGTTTTTTTTTCGCTATAACTTCGCCAAAAAAAGAGGTATCAATCTAAAATTTGGTATGTGGATGGAAGGCGGTAAGGACTATCACATATATTCCGGTTTTTGCGAAATTCAAAAAACTTTTTGGATTTTTTTACTGTTATATCCCAAAAATCTATTTTTTGATTTTTGGGGGTCAAAATCAAAAAACTTCAAAAATCCGAGATAGCTGTTTTGTAGCCCTGTCAATTCTACAGCTTTTATGCTCTAAACATTTTTCTGTATTTACAAAGCTATAGGCCTGACAGCTCTTCCCGCGAAACCCTTTTTTGGGTCGAAAACGGCTGAACATGACGTCACTCTGACGTCATTTCCGGCCAACCTATCATAGCCTTTAGAAAAAATTTTGGTCACAATGTGTAAAATTGATGTCCGGGAGGGTACTGAAAGTTTGGTGACGATCAGCGCAGCGGTTCTGGAGATATATCGAAAAGTCTGGAGGGGGGCAAAAAATAGCCCCCCCCCCCCCACCAGGTCGCGGGCTACGGTGCAAGGCCGATACTGTAGAAACTTGCAATTTGTACCCTTGACCTGACCTTGACCTTGACCTCAAACTTTAAATTAAGTACATGTTTTTAGTAGTTCGTGATGAGAGCTTTCGATTGGCGTTTGAATTTTCCAAATCGGACCATTAGTTCGGGAGATAACAGGGGGGTAAAATTTACCCCCCCCCAGCCCCGCGCGTTCGGCTGGAGACCCCAGCCCCGCGCGGGTTAAGAAACATATTTATGCGACACGATGCTGTCAGCCAGGACCACAAATCCCACCAAGAATATGTGACTATTTGGTCTGTTGCTTCGAGTGACTCCGATGAATTCCGATTATAAAACTGTTCCAGATTGCGGCCTTTCAGCGGGTCATTGACCGAACTTTTCCTTTTCCGTACAAAATTGAAATTAAAATTTCCTACTGTTGCTAAGTAACTATGTGTTGTTTTATTCAGCTGATTGTTGAAAATACCAGTGGAGGAGCCATCCCATCATTCGCTTGACATTATCAAAGAAGGTCGACGATAAATAGAAGTAGCATGCGTGACTGTAGATTTACCTGCATATGTGTGCCACCGGACCCTTCCCTTAGTTGTGCAATTTTACCTGAGATTTTTACCTGAGATGAGCAATGCCGGCTCCAGCGTGAGGTCGGCTTTTTTTGGTACGGACCAACCAAACCGGTTGCAACATATCTCCTTGGATTGTGTTGCAGAATGCTGATCACGTGTGGTGGTTCTCGTTTTGTAACTAGGTATAAGATAGGTGCTGCTGAGGTGCAGCGCAGTATTCTGCACCAATTGAATGTCAGAAATAGCAATGAAAATAATAATAATGCAAAGTTGCATTTCATTGCATGAGTATGTGTCACTTTATGACACGCGTGGGATTTTTTTCTTCTGAGAAAACTTGTTATGCTTTTGGAAGGTATATCAAGTTTCGGTCACTTCGGCATCGATAAGAACAAGCCCCAGTCCCTAAATATAAATCCACAAATGAAACAAATTTAGTCACTACCTACAGCTTTTTTCAAAAGCGATTTGACTTCAAGTTCCTGCGTCTCCAAACTTTGCCGGGTTTGGCAAAGCCCAGATGATATTGATATCGCGGCTGCAGCTTTCCCGATCTTCATTCACCCCCCCCCCCCCCCCGTCAGCCCCTCCCCCACTGTCGGCCGAAGGTGGCTGGAGTTTTAACCCGCGCACCGACGGGGGGGGCGGATATCCGCCCCCCCCCTGAGGTTTTTCGCGAATAGCGGGAAAACCGCGGCGCGTAGCGCCGCGAAATTTGGTA